CAACAAGGGATGGAGAGAGGGGGGAGTTTGTGGGGTAGGGGCGTAGGGGGGGGGGGATGTGGTTATCTGGGTGGGAGGGATAGGGATGGTAGACGGGTTTTGTGTTTTATATTTGTTTATCAGCCCGATTCTTTGTTCGCATGTAAATATACTACTGTTGATTACACAAGGTATACATCAACTGGCAACACCGCGCTGGGGTTATATTCAAGTGAGTCGATATATCCGGCCTTGTAGCGGAGGTATGTCCAGCGCTTGCCACGCCTCCATACATTGCTGTAATATATATTGTTTTTTGTACTGCGACTTTCCTCAAACAGTTACATAAATGTGGAATTTCGTACGGTGTAGAGTAGTCGTGGCTGCTTGTATTATATATATATAGGGGATAACCTTTCTTGACTACTGAGGCAACGGGTTGCCATTGCCGCTGCCTCATGTGTCACACGACCGCTTACTCATGTGTTAAAAGAGAAACTTGAGCTGAAATTTATTCTGAGAAGCAGGGAGGGAGAGAGAGAGAGAGAGAGAGAGAGAGAGAGAGAGAGAGAGAGAGAGATGGAGGGGGGAGGGAGGAAAGAAGCGAGGTAGGTGGGAAGGCAAGGATGGGGAGGGGGGAAGGGAAGGAATGACTGCAGGGGGAGAGAGGAAATGTTAGAGGAACAAAGCAAGAGAGAGCGAGAGAGAAAGATATACAAAGCCTCCACACATAAAAATGGAGAAGAATTTGATAAAATGGTGAACATGCAAGCTGCTCAATGCACAGGGATGACTGGTTCTCCCTACAATGTGCGTATGTGAGTAGAGTAAGAGCAGGGTGTGAGAGGAGTGAGAGCAGCGTGCAGCAGAGCCCTGCTTACGGAAACACGCCAATCTCCTCCCCCCATCAGTAGTCGACTTGGCCAATAGTACCGGGTTAATAACATGCCATACAAACTCTCCCCCATCCTGTAAGACAAGTCTTCCTTAACAAACTCCTGCCACATCTGGACCAGTAAGGATTAATGTTTAGAGTGTGTTGAGCATAGTGTGTTAGAGGCACAGCAATGGCTAAAAAAGGCTAATATCCAATGGAAGATGTGAAGTATTACAGACTAATGGGATGGTCGAGGCGTACCCGGATGGGGCTCCGGGCTGCAGGGTCATAAGCGCCACGTTGGGGAAGGGAGGAAGGGGGATATTCTGGTGGGGAAGGGAAGGTGGGAGGGGATGGAGGGAGAGGGGGGATGAACAGCCTTGTGGTTTGGGGCGGAATTGCCGTAGACGTTTGGTGAATTGTATACGCCGTTTGGCATCCGAGTGTTGAAGATTGGATGTTTGTGTTGCTTTTGATGACTCTCGCTGCTGTTGGAAACATTTCTCGTATATATATCTTTTTGGGGAACCATTAAAGATAAAACAAAACAAAAAACACTAGAAAATACGTGCGAAAGACAAAAAATATAAAGTTGAGATACGTGTGTGAACAAAAACAAGGAAATCACTGCGCTGGAGGACAAAAAGCTTTATGTCGAGGGCTTAAAAATGGAGTGAGCGAGGCGGGGGAGACTGCGCCATTTCCAACTCTGTGCGGTTTACTCTCCGTTTTGAAGCGTCTAGTATACATCGCTACTCCGGCACACCATTGACAGTGCCTCCATGCGCAAACTTTATTAAATCAGACAGAATCTCAACACGAAAACACATCCCCGATAAAATCGAAGGGGTTGCCGTAAGGGCGAAGGTTTAGAGGTGGTGGATACGCCCTTGTGGTCCCCGGAGCCCCGGCAGCAGCCAGTGTTGCCAACGCCGACTCTCCACTAAACCCGCCAATTTACACTTTATGGTTTTATATTTTATATTGATGCAGCTAGAGTCGTGTGTGTATGTGTGTGTGTTTTACATATTATATTGATGCAGCTGGAGTCGTATTTTACATATTTCACTGATGTAGCGAGAATCGTGTGTGTGTGGATTGAGGCCAGCCATAGTCAGGAGGTATTTCGATGCTCTCACAATAACCAGGAATTATAATTCTGCGACTAGCAGCGGTGGAAGCGGTACATGCATCAGTAACTGCCTCGAAAAAAATGCTAGCGGTGAGAGTATGAATATATATGTATATAAATATATTTACATATACGCTTTTACATAGTATATATAATAAAGTGGAGCAGGAAATGTTTAGGTGTGAGAGACACGCTGTGAGGCTTTGTCTACCTGAGCGAGAAGCACAAGTGCTATTGCAGCCAGCATGAGAAGTGATACGATAAAGGTGAAGGAGACCTTGTTCCTCCTGCAACACCAGGCTTCCCTCTCCGTCTCTCCCCACACCCTGATATATCGTGCATGACACCGCCCTGGGGGCATGGCTGGAGGGGAGAGAGAGAGAGAGAGAGAGAGAGAGAGAGAGAGAGAGAGAGAGAGAGAGAGAGAGAGAGAGAGAGAGAGAGAGAGAGAGAGAGAGAGAGACTAATTTATATTACATAAGATATATCAATTAGCAATGGTCTGCGTGGCATGGACCAGTATATATACTGCAGCGTTCTTTGTTCTTCTCGCGCAGCAGCAGCAGCAGCCATGGTGGTGGTGGATGAGGGACCAGGCAACGCTTGGGGGGATAAGGTCCACCCGCCCCCGGGGGACACCTGGGTGTTGGCGCAGTGAGGTAGGTTAAGGTGCTGGTGGAGGCTTGCAACCTGGTTTACCATGATGATTGATTGGCGGGTTGTAGGCTTGGTTACCTCCATGGCGACGCTATAACCTTTCGCGTACATACAAGACAGTCTTGATAATCTGGAGGGTGTCAAAATAAACCCAAACATAACACTTTGGTAAACCTGAAATGTCGAAGCAAAGCAAACATGATTTATGATACAATCCTCCAAAAATAACCAAATGCTTGCTGATCCAGCAGTCTGTTTATAAATGTAAAACACTGTACACATGACTCAAAACAAAATACTGTTATCAAACTAGTCTTGACCATTGGCTTACATCCTAAGTTGTCGCCGCACCTCTTTAAATACTTCTCTCGGCTACTGTAAATACATATAAAGTGTATTTACAGTCGTAGCAAAACACATTTGACAGTTGGAAAGCGGGACAACTCTAGGCCTTAAATTTAAATTTTGCCCCGAGGGGCGAGTTTATTGGGCAGCGCCACTCATCTTGTGAATGGACATAGATAGCATGTACAACACTCCCCAATAGGAAGAAAACCAGCTGGGTTTGTTCATCCTGTCACTTGTACCCAGACACAGCTGGGACTTGCTTAACTGTCTATTATACACAAAATAATATATAATAATATTGCTTATATTGGATGAAATAATTTCTTATTTCTGGAAATAAATTACAAGTGCACACGAAACCAGACTCAAGTATTCAAGTGTAACGTGAATACACTTGCGGCTCACATTGTGTATTATGGGGAGGAGAGCTGCCCCACATAGTGTAGGTGTGGTCTTATTATAACATACAAATCTGATCGATGATAATGTCACTTCCTTTACCCGATTTGTGCTGTGTTTTCTACCTGCCTGACATGTCCTAATCTACCAGTACTATGTAGGCCTACTCCACTATCTCTTATCAACAACCCTGTAGGCCTACAACAGTTCTCAACTACTCTGTAGGTCTACAACAGTCCCTTACAACTCTGTAAGCCTTTTCTTTCACCCGGTACACATATCTCAGCTCCTTGTCTTCTTATCTATTTCAAGTGCTATGTATTGTCACACTTAGTGCTTTTCAACTTGTAGCCTGTGACAAACCACTAAATCTTTCACTTGAACACTACATTATTGAATGTGACACTGTAATAGATTTTAGACCTGACCTGTTGTACGATCAACTGTATTTCATTGAACATCCTAACAATTTATCCCAAATTTGCTTGTCCATTCTAAAGAATGAAGAACGAGAATTTTATTTATTATTATTATTATTATTATTATTATGTTATGCTGTATATCTCATGAGTCCATCCCTGCCTTGTGTGGTTAACTGAAACATGTATAATATATGATGTAGTTGTCTGTAACCTCATGAAACATGAATGTGCTTCAGTTTATAATTTATGCCTGTTGCCTTGTGAATGATCCTTTGTCCTGTGTGACAGAGAATACGAACAGCATCTCACTGTAATAAGACATTTTATCAATAAATATGTTAAGTAAACTTTCCACAATTACAAATGTACAACTATTCATGAATAAAGTCTTTGATTTGATTGACTTGAACATTAATCTCTATAGAGAACTACGCCAGTTCACTGTTATATGCACGCAAAGTTGACAACTGCAAACCTTAAATTCAGCACATCGATCATAACCCGACATTGTAAGAGTACAATTGTTTCCACATGTAGAGATCGCACTGCCTAGTGCGATAGTGCCTTAATGAATATTAAGTGCACCACGACGCTACTTTTCTCAGGCGAAAAGAATATAAATCCTTCGAGGAGATGAATATGTAAGGCCAGACGTTGTTCACATTCCTGGCCGTGGGTGGAAGCGAACTTGCTTAAATGTCCAGGGACCTTAAGTTGAAGTCAGTTTATTGAGACACATCTCAAAAGGATAGAGTAACTTAGGCTATTTTATTTCAAATTACGATATCATAATCTTTTCTGGGCTCGGGGGCTCTAAACAAAGCCTAGTCCTGAGGGCAGTAATGAGGCTACCCGGGTGGGGAAGATTGTCATGGGTGTCCGGCCTTGCATGAGGCTGCCCTGCCCTGGTAGAGGGGAATTTGTTATGAGACTCTCCAGTCCTGGTGAAGTCTTATCATCAGGCAGCCTGTGACACTCGCTGCCCTTCCCCCCAACAATGCCCTGGAGATGGTCCAGTCTCGTCTCCTGTATCAGTGACACATCAAAGTTTCACCAAAGCGGATTGTTGTTGCCTGGCCTCCCTCCCCGGCCAAGTGAACATGCAGCAATTGTTTCAACGTCACATGTTCCTGACCCTTGTAGCTTGGGGGCGCGATAACATCCCTGATAACAGATTCAACTCTAGATGCGCCGTTCTGCCAAATATCGCCGCCCCAAATTGCCGCAACCAGATCGTTCTGCAGATGTAGGAGCTTGGATTGTTGGCGAAACATCTGGGTAAACGCTCCCAGCTATTTATGTCTCCCAGAGGTATACGGCTGAGGGCGCCTTGATGGAGGAGAAGCCTCGTGAGGAGCATAACAAGACGCTCTGCGGGCCGTGACTGTTTTTTGTTGTCATTGTGGAGAGTTTTTTGTTGTCATTGCTGGTTATCAGCATGGAAGGGGAAGGGGGAGGGGGGTCGTCTCCCAGTGCGATGTGGCACACAACACTGCTCTTGCTTCATGCCTTGCCTTTAGTGTTGATGCTGGTACTGTTACTGTTGATGCTGGTACTGTTACTGTTGATGCTGGTACTGTTACTGTTGATGCTGGTACTGTTACTGTTGATGCTGGTACTGCTACTGTTACTGATTTATTGCTACTAGCAGCGTTTTGTACAATGCACAATGACGATAAATAAACATAAATCAATTGAATGGTGAACTTTTACAGTTGGCGAGTTCATTTGTGGGTGTTGCGTCTGTGTATTGTGTCTGTGTATTGCGTCTGGGTGTTGCGTCTGAATGTTGCGCCTGGCGTGTGTGGGACTTGGTCCTGGGTCTCATCAACCATAATTCTGTGGTTTCCGCTCACCCTCGACCCAAATTCTCGGGACGCTGCCTTAATTTCCTGTGCGCGAGGCTGCTTGTGGCGAGCGCTAGGCTTCCACCGCTTCCTTAACACCAACGGAGGCAGACATGTGATAGCGAAATGTTATTTGCTTACCCATGCACCCCCCACAGGCCGCCCATGCACCCCACAGGCCATCCATGCACCCCACAGGCCGTCCATGCACCCCACAGGCCGTCCATGCACCCCACAGGCCGTCCATGCACCCCACAGGCCGTCCATGCACCCCACAGGCCGCGTATGTACCCCACAGGCCGCCCATGCACACCACAGGCCGTCCATGCACCCCACAGGCCGCGTATGTACCCCACAGGCCGCCCATGCACCCCACAGGCCGCCCATGCACCCCACGTAGGCACAGGGGGCCTCGTAGCCTGGTGGATAGCGCGCAGGACTCGTAATTCTGTGGCGCGGGTTCGATTCCCGCACGAGGCAGAAACAAATGGGCAAAGTTTCTTTCACCCTAAGTGCCCCTGTTACCTAGCAGTAAATAGGTACCTGGGAGTTAGTCAGCTGTCACGGGCTGCTTCCTGGGGTGTGTGTGTGTGGTGTGGGAAAAAAAAAGTAGTTAGTAAACAGTTGATTGACAGTTGAGAGGCGGGCCGAAAGAGCAAAGCTCAACCCCCGCAAAAACACAACTAGTAAACACAGGCCGCCCATGCACCCCACAAGTCGCACATGCACCCTTAGGCCACCCGGACGCCCACACGTTGCCTGTGCGTCCACGGACGCCCTCACAAAAAGTGTTTTCAGAAAGTCTGAATGAGGCAGGTGGGGTGAGATAGGGACATCCAAGGCCTACTACCTCGGAGAATCCAAGGTGCTCCTCTCACTGGGGCTGTTGAACTGCTTGCGGAGGGTTCCCCACTCCCCTCTGGGATTGTAGGGTTCGGGGTTGTGGTTCCCTGATTACTTATTCACCTCCAACTCTGACGATTCCCACCCAAGTCGAGTGGCAGCCCTCCCCACCCAGTGTCTACCCGCGCTAGGCTCCCACACTAATCCCCGGCGATGGTGGAAAACAAATGGGCAGTGTATTTCATCCTGATGGTCCTGTTCACCTAGCAGTAAATAGGTACCTGGGAGTTAGACAGGTGTTACGGGCTGCTTCTTGTGTGTGTGTGTGTGTACTCACCTAATTGTGCTTGCGGGGGTTGAGCTCTGGCTCTTTGGTCCCGCACAAAGTGTGTGTGTGTGTGTGTGTATTATGCAAGCACAACTCGGTGGATACATGTGCGTGCAGAGCAGCAGACGCGCAGAGAAGCGTGACACGGAGGCAAGGACATGCTCCAGCAGACATGCAGACAGTAGTGAGCAAGAGCAATGATCCAGCACTTCAGGAGTGAGTTAAGACTTACCCTTGGCAGCCACTAACCAATCATTTTAGGGGCCCAGGAGTTGAAGCTTAACCCTGCAAGTTCAGCTAGGTGAGTACTGCTGGTGCGTTGTGGGGGGGGGGCATCTGGGCTCTGCCTCCACAGGCTACACCTGTACCCCGGGCTACACCTGTACCCCGGGCTACACCTGTACCCCGGGCTACACCTGTACCCCGGGCTACACCTGTACCCCGGGCTACACCTGTACCCCGGGCTACACCTGTACCCCGGGCTACACCTATACCACGGGCTACACCTGTACCCCGGGCTACACCTGTACACCGGCATACACCTATACAACGGGCTACACCTGTACCCCGGGCTACACCTATACCACGGGCTACACCTGTACCCCGGGCTACACCTGTACACCGGCATACACCTATACCACGGGCTACACCTGCACCACGTATACGTCCTGACCAGTACTCACCTATTTGTGCTTGCGGGGGTTGAGCTCTGGCTCTTTGGTCCCGCCTCTCAACTGTCAATCAACAGGTGTACAGGTTCCTGAGCCTACTGGGCTCTATCATATCTACACTTGAAACTGTGTATGGAGTCAGCTTTCACCACATCACTGCCTAATGCATTCCATTTACTAACTACTCTGACACTGTAAAAGTTCTTTCTAATGTCTCTGTGGCTCTTCTGTTTTCCAGCAACGTAAGGTGCATTTCCCGCAGCTTTTCCTCGTAACTCATGCCTCTTAGTTCTGGGACTAGTCTAGGGTATACCTCTGAACTTTTTCCAGCTTCGTCTTGTGCTTGACACTTGTGCCGCCACTTCCAACAGTTTAGCTCCCAATGTTTCCTCACCTCTCTGTGGTTCCTTGTTCTCCCAGTCTATCCTTCCGTGACTGAAGTCCCCCATGATGAGCAGATGGGATCTATTTCTTCAGGCAGCCGTGGCTGCCTTCTCAATTATAGTGTTAACTGCCATGTTGTTTCTGTCATACTCTTGCCTGGGTCTTCTGTCGTTTGGTGGAGGGTTATATATCACTGCTACTACTACTCTTGGTCCTCCCATTGTCATGGTGCATTTAATGTAGTCTCTGAACCCCTCGCAGCCCGGGATAACCATCTTGAAACTCCCATTCCTTTCACTCAAGGAGGCCACTCCGCCTCCTCCCCTTCCTTCCCAGTGGGGGACATCTGTGCTCTGCTGCTGCCCCTTACACCTGTACACATGTACACCCTGACCAGTGGGGGGAAGGGGGACATCAGGGACCATATTCACGAAACAGTTACGCAAGCACTTACGAACCTGTACATTTTTTCTCAATCTTTGACGGCTTTGTTTACAATTATTACACAGTTAATGAGCTCCGAAGCACCAGTAAGCTGTTTATAACAATAACAACAGTTGATTGGGAAGTTTTCAAGCCTGTAAACTGTTTAATAAATGTAACCAAAGCCGTCAAAGATGGCAGAAAGATGTACACGTTCGTAAGTGCTTGCGTAACTGCTTCGTGAATCTGGCTCCTGGTCCCTGCAGCTGTCCGCACACCTGTACACATGTGCTTAACCTGGAGACATAATCAAGACACGAGCCCGTGGAGCGCCTTGCCAGCACAAACAGCCCGCTTGGTCTGGCTTATCACCCACCGTTGTCACCTGCACCGTCCCTGCCCCTGGCGTGGCTTGCCTCACCTTATTGGTCAGGGGCCTCCACACCCGGCCATACCTGCCCCCACACCCGGCCATACCTGCCCCCACACCCGGCCATACCTGCCCCCCATACCTGCTCTTACACACCTGGCGCTGATAAGGTGGGCGTTGGTGTGCCCCGCAGAGGAGGGTAATTAATACCCGGAACAGCTTGTACCGTCCAGGGTAATTAGTGTAATTAGCTGGTGTTAACAAGGTTAACGATACACCTGTCTTCTGGGACCCGGGGCCGGATAACACGTTTAATTTACTTCTTTTACCGGACTGAGAAATGCCAAATATGAGAGATTATTGATACTATACTTATGTGGATCTACACCTGCCACTGTAGGGTGTGGCTTTACACACCTGCGTCTGTAGGGTGTGGCTCTACACACCTACCTTTGTAGGGTGTGGCCCCACACATCTGCCTCTGTAGGATGTGGCCCCACACACCTGTCTCTGTAGGGTGTGTTCCCACACACCTGCCTCTGTAGGATGTGGCCCCTTTTTGTGTATGAGGTCCTGATACCCACATCTGGAAGGTCTAACAGGCGAGAGTATAAGGTGACTCACCTCACTATGATGGAAGTGTTAAGCATGAGGGAGGGAGGGGGGGGGGGAGGGGGTCACACTATACAATGATGGTACCAGCATCATGTATATTGGATTGTCTGAATGTATTAGTTTATCCCTTGTACACTTCTGCGTGTCCCTTGTACACTTCTGTGTGTCCCTGTACACTTCTGCGTATCCCTTGTACATTGTATACACGAATGTGTATACATTCTACTGATGTGTGTATATCTGTATGCACATTTTGGCCGGAAGATGGTGTGGAGGGAGGGTGGGTCGGGCGAGAATGTGAGCTTATAGGCCTCTAGGCGTGCTGGGTGGGGGCAGGTAGGCTGGGGAGGTGGGTGGAATGGGGGTGGGAAGGGTGGAATGGCCAACTGATAGTCAGGTAAGGTTAGAGGAAAGGAAGGAGGTTGTGGACTGGTGTTTGAGTATGGTTGGTGTGGCAGCGACGGGGGTAGGACTGCCTGGGGTCGGCCAGGTAAGGTAGTGGGCAGGATAAGCAGCAGTCAAGGGTTGGTTGGGGGCTAGGGGCTGGATGGGGTCCAGGTCTGGCCTTCAGGAGATAATTCCTGGTACCTGTGGTCGTCTCCGGTACCTGTCCCAGCCTCTCCTATACCACTGCCCCGTCCAGTACCACCACCACCACCATCACTACCACCAATATCACTTCCACCATCAGCTGTCTTACCCTGTCAAAGTAGGAAAGACAGGTGTATGTATATATATGTGGGTATGTGTAGGTATATGTGTAATATGTGTGCATTTGTATACAGGGAATGTGGAAG